TTTCCTTCCTTTCCTGTCATTATCCTTCCCTAATGTTTGTGTATTTAAGAGATGTCACTTCTAGCTCAGTAAGCCACATTGTAGATAAAGAGTAGGTTCTGTCTCTGAAGATGATTCAAATAGTAAAATATCTGGAAAGTTTGAGTTCCAATTTCCTCATGGTCTTTCTGGTAACACTTGCCCAGAAAGCCAGTCTTACTCTGCCTAGACCACATATAATTTTCCTAGGTAAATATGAAGTTCTCTCATCATGGAGACCTCAGGTGGTGACTTGAAATGCCCCCAGGGACCAAGTAGAATGTAAAGCAGGGTTAGTTATGGGAAGGCAGCAGCCCAGTGGGAGAATAAATGGCACCTGGCCTTTGGCTGGGCATTGTGGTGAGCTGAAGGGTGTGCTCATCTCCAGTTGATTACTGCAGTAAACCTGGGTCCAGGACTGCAAGAGCAAACATTTAGATCTTTTTGTGGATGTTAAAATATAATGTGGGGCAGACATAACATGTCTATGGTCTGAATTTAGCCTTAGAGGCTCCAATTTCTGATATCTAGCTAAATTAAGAAGTGATCAATGACATTAAGAGCAGGTTGTCTGAAATCTTTACTTATAGAATAGGAGGACCTGAGATAAATATGTGTATGGGGAGAGATGGGAATGGGTAGGCAGTGCAGAGAGGTGATGTCTTAGGGATAAGTCAGTATGGTGTCTTGAGCACTACATGAAAGCCCCCTGGAAGAAAACATATGGAGGGACAGCAGTAGCAGCAAGATTAATGCTGTACATGGGATGTACAAATGCAGGACAAACATAGCAAGGAAAAGAGACAAGAAAAGAAGGGCATGAGTAAAAAGAAAAGACTTTACATGTTTTGCAATCAGCACAGCAGAGACCTTTCAGGAAAATATTAAATAATGTAGAGAGAGTCACTAATTGTCTTTTAACATACACAAGACAATGACTGACAGTGAACCAGGAAACTGAAATGATAGGATTGAGAAACTCATTATCCAAAATTGACTAGAGAGTATTTACTTGCTACTACGAAGGGATAAATGACCAGAGTCAGAATTTCAGGTACAGCATGCCTCTAATTTTTTGTTTAGGATGGTTTCTTAGTCTGTATGTGATGCTGTTAAGGAATACCTGAGACTAGGTAATTTAGTAAAAAAGAGAGCTTTATTAGCTGGGCATGGTGGTGCCTGCCTATAGTCTCAGCTACTTGGGAATCTGAGGTAGGAGGATCACTTCAGCCCAGGACGTTGAGGCTGCAGTGAGCTGTGATCATGCCACTGCATTCTAGCCTGGGTGACAGACTTGTCTAACAAAAAAGTGTGTGTGTGTGTGTGTGTGTGTGTGTGTGTGTGTATATATGGAAGAGGTTTATTTGGCTCACAGTTCTTCAGACTGAACAAGAAGGATGCTGCCAGTATCGTTTCTGGTGAGGGCTTCAGGCTGCTTCCATTTGTGGTGGAAAGAGAAGGGGAGCTGGCGTGTGCAGAGCTTACAGGGAAAGAGAGGAAGCAAGAGAGAGGGAAGATGTTAGACTCTTTTTAACCAGAACTAGGAGAAACTCTTGAGGGGAAATAATAAGGAGAGAACTCACTCGTTAATGTGAGGAAGGCACTAAGAGATTCATGAGGTATCGGCTTCCATGATCCAAACAGCCTCCCATTAGGTCTCACCTCCAACATTAGGAATTAAATTTCAACAGGAGATTTGGAGGATCGCATATCCAAACTATAGCAGATGGTATACTTAAATATTTATTGACTATTTGTAATTCTCTAGAAGATTCCTTAATATTGAAAGCCGAGGGTTGGTGTACCACCTGGATAGGTTATACCTCAAAACCACAGATAATGGGGTTATAAGGGTGGAAAGAACCCTAGAGATCATATAGTACAGAACTTCCTTTTTAAAATAAGTATCTTTGACCAGAGGGATGACAACTTAATCAATGTCACAAAGCTTGTAGTCCATCTGGGTCTAGAACATAGTTTCCCACCTTAGATCCAGTACTGATTTCTGAGCTCAAATCCTAACAAGAGTTACTATCTCTAGTACCCCTACCTATCCACCTAGTGAAGAAAAAAGTCAGGCAGAGCATGAAGAGGAGAACTGGAATTACAAACTAGCATTTGAATGAAGATTGCACATATTTATTGTGCCCTTGTTTTCCTCTTTCTTAACTCAGTTACACCTTCAAATAGGATTCCTTGCTGGAATTATCTCTGATAAATAAAACAAAGTTTTTGCATGTAGATGGAATTTATCAAAGAGTTCGTTTTACTCTTCATACAAATTCGTATTAATTTTTTTGTCTCATTGAATGGGAGCCTGGCATGCTTTAGGTCTATGTCCTTACCCAAATTTCATATCAAATTGTAATCTTCACATGTTGGGGAAGGGGCCTGGTGGGAGGTGATTGAATTGTGGGGGCAAACTTCCCCCTTGATGTTCCTGTGATAGTGAGTGAGTTCTCATGAGATCTGATTGTTTGAAAGTGTGTGATATTCTCCCCTTCGCTTGCTCTCTCTCCTCTACCACCATGTGAAGAAGGTCCTTGCTTCCCCTTTGCCTTCCACCATGATTGTAAGTTTCCTGAGGCTTCCCAGTCATGCTTGCTGTTAAGCCTGCACAAGTGTGAGTCAATTAAACCTCTTTTTCTTCATAAATTACCCAGTTTCAGATAGTTCTTTTAGCAGCGTGAAAATGGACTAATACAGAGCCAATCTTCTACTATGTTTTAGGATCTAAGTCATGCATATTCATCATGTCAAAGCATAAGTATTGATTATGGGGTTTAAAAACTGTGGTTTTAACTTAATATATAGACTTAGTTTATTTTTATTTTTATTTTATTTTTTTTGAGACAGAGTCTCACTCTGTCACCCAGGCTGGAGTGCAGTGGTGCCATCTCAGCTCACTGTAACCACTGCCTCCCGGGTTCAAGTGATTCTCCTGCCTCAGCCTCCCGAGTAGCTGGGATTACAGGTACCTGCCACCATGCCTGGCTAATTTTTGTATTTTTAGTAGAGACAGGGTTTCACCATGTTGGCCAGGATGGTCTCGAACTCTTGACTTCAGGTGATCCACCTGCCTCGGCCTCCCAAAGTGCTGGGATTACAGGTGTAAACCACTGTGCCTGGCAGATAAGCCATTTATTAACTCCATACTCCTAGCACCAGCTGTCACCCTGGGCTTGTTGGAGGTCCAGGGGTTAGAAAGGGAATGACAAAGTGCACAAGCCCCTACCACCCTATGCCCCAGACACACCCTCTCTGCTGGCAGTGCAGATAATGTGTCCCAATACCCTGGAGGAGAACCACCACCCCAGGGAGAATCCTTTCTTCTCCAACCTCCTGGGCAGGTCCCAGGTTGGAGCAGCAGACCAGACAACCAGGCCCAGGTTGTCAGGCCTGGCCGCACATGCGGACAGAGGATATGGTTGGGGCACCCTAGGGTGTGGGGAGGATCAGACTGGGATTGGGGGTCATGAAGGCTGTGTTCCAGGACTCCTCCTCCTGCCCCCAATCCTCTGTGCCCTATCTAGAGCTCTCCTAGCTTTGCTGATCTGTGCTCACGTCTTTGGGGAGCTGCCTGGTCTCCAGGGAGAGCCAGAGGTTGTTGCATTTCTCCGACTCCACTCTTGTTACCCCATAGCTGGCACAGAGCCTGAGACCACGGCCACTAGTAGGATCCACTGCAAAGGATATGGAAACTTCCTCTGAATGAACATCTGCAGGCCAAAGGCCATGCTCATGCTGGATGCTTGGCAGCCACAGTGTTGTCCACCTAGGACAGGCCCAGGTTCACCATGGTTGGCCAGGTTCAGGTGACTTAGCTTTTAATTAAAGTATTTTGGTTAGCGTATGTAGTAAGATGAATGGAGAAATGTTGATATTTTAATTTTATTTTAATTTTCTACATTTGTATTGTGGATAGTGATTTCTAGAACAGAGATTCTTAGCATGTCATTTTATTTCAGCAACTTCCACTTAACTTCTGTGCCTTACCAGGGAAGTGATTCTAAAGGAAAGAGAGTGATAGTTACTTCAGAGGTGTATCTGAATCTGACTCTTGGTGGATTAGGTGGTGGAAGTCATATGTAGTTCGAAAATGCATGCTTTTGGAGAATTTACAACACCCTGTTGTGGGAGGTGTGTTGCCTCCTAGCTCTGAAAGTCCCTATAGTACTTGTTCCCATCTTGGGGTACTGGCTAAATTAGGATTATCAAGGGTCTAAAAGGAGTCTTAGAAAATGGTCCTCAACCTCCTGGTTAAAGAAAGATCTTACAGAGGCTCTCCAAGTTAGAATGATACTCTGTGTGTGTGTGTGTGTGTGTGTGTGTGTGTGTGTGTGTGTATTACCACACCAAACTGGGTTTACATACCCATGCACAATGGAAAGCCAAACACTGAAGCACTGGATTTTCGCAGTGAGAAAAGTCTATTGTAAGTTGACTGACAAGGAGACAGAAGGAAATGCTCAAAAATGTCTTCCTGAGCTGGGGGCTGGGTCAGGTTTTATAAGCATAGGGTAATGAGGTGTGATCTGATTGGATCTTGCAATGAGGTGATGCCAGAACTCAATCTGATTGGATCCTGGATCCTGCCATGCAGTGTCTACTTCTTAATACAGCCCCTGTTCCTGCTCCTCTATTGGAGCACTTGGATTTCCCCATAGTTGCATGCTTGGTTCATCTGGGCATGCTCAGGTTACATGACCTTCAACCTGGGGGTCCATGGTGACTGAAAAACAACTCACAGCTTTGTTACATAAAAGTTGAACAAGATTGGTCTGGTGTGGCTACATGTGTTTTGGGAGTAGTGGGTTAGGAAGGGGAAAATTTGGAAGAAAGAGTACCTGAAAGTAGCTCAGACTCCAGTAGCTGAAGGGATTTTTTCTTCTCCTGACGTGAGCCTCTGTAGTCTACCAGTTTATCCCCAGACTTTCAGAAGCAACTTGGGTCATATTTCTTTTCTCTCTGGTTCCTTATAGATTAAGAGATTGGAGGGAGGGCGGTGAAGAAGGGGCCAGCCTTCAAGCAACATCAAGGCAAGATGGCAGCCACCACGGGCTCGGGAGTAAAAGTCTCTCGCAATTTCCGACTATTGGAAGAACTTGAAGAAGGCCAGAAAGGAGTAGGAGATGGCACAGTTAGCTGGAGTCTAGAAGATGACGAAGACATGACACTTACAAGATGGACAGGGATGATAATTGGGCTTTCAAGAACAATTTATGAAAACCGAATATACAGCCTTAAAATAGAATGTGGACCTAAATACCCAGAAGCACCCCCCTTTGTAAGATTTGTAACAAAAATTAATATGAATGGAGTAAATAGTTCTAATGGAGTGGTGGACCCAAGAGCCATATCAGTGCTAGCAAAATGGCAGAATTCATATAGCATCAAAGTTGTCCTGCAAGAGCTTCGGCGCCTAATGATGTCTAAAGAAAATATGAAACTCCCTCAGCCGCCCAAAGGACAGTGTTACAGCAATTAATCAAAAAGAAAAACAATAGGCCCTTCCCCTTCCCCCCCATTTGATTTAAGCAGTCTTCATTTTCCACAGTAGTAAATTTTCTAGATACATCTTATACACCTCAAAGTACTGGAAAGGAAGCTCCCATTCAAAGGAAATTTATCTTAAGATACTGTAAATGATACTAATTTTTTGTCCATTTGAAATATATAAGTTGTGCTATAACAACAAAAAAAAAAAAGATTAAGAGATTGGGTTAGAATGGGAGAAACAGATTAGTCAAACATCCTAAAGATTAAATGTCAATTTTGTATTTTGATGATCATGGTTATATGAGTTTCATCCATTGAAAAATAAACACAAACACATGTCCCTATAGGTTCATCAGTTGTAACAAATGTACCACCCCAAAGCAAGATGTTGGGGAGGCTGAGCACATGTGGGAGGCAGGGTCTATGGAAAATCTCTACCTTCCATTTAATTTTGCTGTTAACCTAAAACTGCTAAATAATAGTCAACTTTTAAAGAGCATACCTTCTTCTAGTTGCCTTTAAGCACTTAGTGTCTTATAACTTCATTGGTATTTATGGCAAAAAAATAAATTGAGGCTTCTGTGCCTCATAGAACTGATGTTTATAGTTTATTTTGGATAAACATAAAAATTGACCTTTCCAGTCTTAAAACTTGAGAAAGTTACATTTGTCTTACCTGAGTTCTTTTCTCAGGAAACTAACCAGCAAGCTCCCCAGATAGTATTATGGAACTGAAACTCACCAGGTCACTGCATCTAGACAGTGAGACACCAGACCCCTCACTGGACATGATTACCTAACTGATCACCAGCTTCCTGTTGACCAGTCCTTTTCTTTACTCCTCCCTAATTCCTATTTTTCCACACAGTTATGTTTCTCCCTTGCTGTACCAACCCCTACTTTCAGTTGGTTGAGGAGATAGATTTGAGACCAACGTCCCATCACCTCAGATGCAGGACTGGAATAAGTCGTCTTCCCTGGCAGTACTCCTTGTCTCAGTGATTGGCTTTCAGTGCAGAGAGCAATGGGACCTAGACCAAACCCCTGGTGTTTTGGTAACAGAAGAAATATGCTGACATATTCCTTTTTCCTTTCTTCTCTGCTCTCTCTTCCATCTCCCACTTCTTTATACAGCTGCTGGCTTTTAAACCTGTTGCCCCCTCTCTGATGTTCACTTAGGCTCAAGACAGTGCCTGGTATGTAGCAGATGTCCAATAAGTTTTATTGACTGACTGAAAAAAAGCAGGAATAAATGACTCTGATTTGAAGGTTCTAAACTTTGGTATAACATGAACCTCTGTTTCAAATTCAAGAGGCATTTGTTACATCTTAGGGGACTCCAACAATTTGAGGATTTCTAGCCCTATACATTTTTGTTAAGGGTTAAAATGAGTCCTAGTTTTAGAATAGGTTGTTATAAATGGAAAGTGGTTTTAGAGATCACCCAATCAAGTACCAGCATTTTTCAGATGAGATTTTGTATGTGTGTGCTCTTGTGGGATTGAGAAAACAGGGATCAAGAGAGGTTTACTGATGTGTTCAAAGTGTGTTCAAAGTCACAAAGCTAGTCAGGGGCAAAGCTGATGTTTTGAAGTCCAGCTCTCCTGACTCTTAGTAGCACATTCATGACATGACGATTCTCAGAGAAAAACTAAACTAGGAAGATGTTCTGGGAGGTGACAAATGCCACATTGATGATTTGGATTCTATGGTGACATGAATATAACTTGTATGTTTTCCTTATCATCAAGCTGATTTCTACTACTGAGAATGTTCCGCTTTCTGAGGAGCGTTCTGTAGCTTCAAGTTCTGCAACTTCTGAGAAGGGCTCTGTGGCTTTGACCCTGAATAGAAGTTTTAAATTAACTTATTTTATATATATATATATATATATATATATATAAAGTCCCTTAAGTTTCTGATGTCGGGAAATTCTAACTGTGAGCTTATATAAATTTGGATTCCTAATGGGAGATGAAAATTCAATAAAGTGGGTCCTGCTGATAACCTACAAAACACTAAGTTATATATCAAAAATCAAAATAGGATATGAATAGAAACACTTATCTTAGACTTATCTTAAGTTAAGCACTTTCATCATAATTGGCTTGAAAACATTGCCTGCCTAGAGGTGAAATAAAGTCTGCTAACATGTACGCCTGCAACAGAAACAGAGCAGACAATCAGTTGAAATGATGTCTTCAAGAGCATCAAGATGTCATTCATAGAAGGCTTGGAGACCTTTGGAATTAAATGGAGAGAGGTTGAATTCACTTTATGTTTAATTGTCTAGAAAATATTTGTAGTCTTTGTCTACCATCCTTGCCAAATTACTGTGATCCTGGCTGCTTACTGGTCTGCCTAACCCAGCCCAAACAATTTAGAGTCATTTGGGAAAAGAAATGATTAACTCTAATGTTAGCTATGGGGACCTGTGGATGTTTGGACTGATTCAAAGAAGAGGAAGAAACTAAGCCAATATGGTGGATGACTGATGAAAGTTATTTTAATAGTAGGAAGTCCACAGGTCCTATTTTAGACAAAATCTGATTGTTTGGTCATCTTCATACCTTTCACTGATTACTCCTTATCACTTCTAGAAAGGCACTAAAATGACATTTTACACTTTAGTATAAATTACATTAGTTTTACTATTTTTAATATAATTTTCTTTTTTTTTTTTTTTTTTTTTTGAGACTGAGTCTGGCTCTGTCACCCAGGCTGGAGTGCAGTGGCCGGATCTCAGCTCACTGCAAGCTCCGCCTCCCGGGTTTGCGCCATTCTCCTGCCTCAGCCTCCCGAGTAGCTGGGACTACAGGCGCCGCCACCTCGCCCGGCTAGTTTTTTGTATTTTTTAGTAGAGACGGGGTTTCACCATGTTCACCAGGATGGTCTCGATCTCCTGACCTCGTGATCCACCCGTCTCGGCCTCCCAAAGTGCTGGGATTACAGGCTTGAGCCACCGCGCCCGGCCTATAATTTTCTTTTTTCTTTTAATCCCTAATGTGATAGTAAAAGTATATTAGTTTTACTCGATTTTTCTGCCTTAAAAAAAGCAGCTAGGACTTCAAACATTTCTGACCCCATGTACACTTAAAAGAAGAAAAAATTTTCTGAGTTTAACTAAATTGAGATCTGATTAGATTCTAGCCTTAGTACTTTTTCTCCCTTCCTTCCTTTTTTTGTCCTTTGCTCATCCTCTTTCTCTCCCTCCTTCTCCTTTTTCTTCTTCTCTCACTTTTCTCTCACTTTCTCTCTCCACCCTCTCTCCCTTCTTTCCTGTCAGGAGAGGAAATGGAAGGAGAATGGTAGAGCTAGAAAATGTGCTTTACAAATGTTTTATCCCTTCCAGGATGTAAGATATATTACACTTTACCAATAATAAAATTCAGATCCTTGAATATAAACCATTTCCCTTATTGACTCTGCTTTTTATCCGCACCATTTTAGAGCTGGGTAAACAGGGCATGGCTAGAGAAATTTCGCAGTGCTCCAGCCTGCTTTTCCACTGGAGGAATGTCTTCCCTCTCCTGTGAAAAGGCCAGGGAGGAGAGCTCAGGCCTTTCTCCATCACACTATGTAAGAGCTTAGCACTTGGACTCTCGAACATCCCTCTCCTGGAAGCAAGAGCAGAGAGGCAGCCTCAGCCCCGGCCATTCATTCAGCCCCGTGTACAAGGTCTGTCTGAGGTGGTGCATATGCAGGCAGCAAGAAGTCCAGCTGCTTCTCTCTCCAGCCTCCCCCATCATTGGTCTGTCACAGTGCCTGGAAAGAACTGAGAAAAGACTGTTAGATCTTGTTTATTGGACAAGCTGTTATGAGATAACTTTTAGGATGTTGGGGCCATTTCCTCAATCTCTGTAAAAGTTGTTATTTGTTATTTTCCTTCTGGTACTTCCATCTGGTACTGTTTACTTTTTATCCACTCACCTGTTATTATTTCTCTCACCCCTAAAACATAACAAGGCATTTCTGATCATGTGTGATGTTTATCCTTTTAGTGAGAGGCATTAGATAATAGATAAATAATAAGGGGAGTTTTAGTAGTTTTTCCTAAATATAATTTAAAGCAGGATATATATATATATGTATTTTTTTTAGCTGCTGTTTTGCTCTGTTGCCCAGGCTGGAGTTCAGTGGCACGATCTCTGGTCACTGCAAACTCCACCTCCTGGGCTCAAGTGATTCTCCTGCCTCAGCCACCTGAGCAGGTGGGATTACACAAAGGATTTTTTGAAAACTGTGAACCTCAATTCATTAGTGGGATATAAACTCAATATAGTGAGCTTCAACTTGCAGCAGCATTTTTTTTTTTTTTTCTGAGACAGAGTCTCACTCTGTTGCCGAGGACGGAGTTCAGTGGTGCAATCTCGGCTCACCGCAACCTCCGCCTCCCCAGGTCAAGTGATTCTCCTGCCTCAGCCTCCTGAGTAGCTGGGATTACAGGTGCCGGCCTTTGTGCCCAGCTATTTTTTGTTTTGTTTTGTTTTGTATTTTTAGTAGAGATGGGATTTCACCATGTTGGCCAGGCTGATCTTGAACTCCTGACCTTCTGATTCGCCTGCCTTGGCCTCCCAAAGTGTTGGGATTACAGGCGTGAGCCACTGCGCCTGGCCAGCATTTTTTTTTTTTGTTTTTTTAAGGAAAAAATTGTACAGAGTGTAGCAAAAGTTAGCACAGTTTTGTGAAACTGGCTTCAGTTACACAGCCATGTGGGAGTGTAGACTTGGGTGTGACGTGAAATGCATTTCTTTCTTGTTTTTTTTTTTTTTTTTTTTTAATTTATTTATTATTATTATACTTTAAGTTGTAGGGTACATGTGCATAACGTGCAGGTTTGTTACATATGTATACTTGTGCCATGTTGGTGTGCTGCACCCATCAACTCGTCATTTACATCAGGTATAACTCCCAATGCAATCCCTCCCCCCTCCCCCCTCCCCCCTCCCCATGATAGGCCCCTGTGTGTGATGTTCCCCTTCCTGAGTCCAAGTGATCTCATTGTTCAGTTCCCACCTATGAGTGAGAACATGCGGTATTTGGTTTTCTGTTCTTGTGATAGTTTGCTAAGAATGATGGTTTCCAGCTGCATCCATGTCCCTACAAAGGACACAAACTCATCCTTTTTTATGGCTGCATAGTATTCCATGGTGTATATGTGCCACATTTTCTTAATCCAATCTGTCACTGATGGACATTTGGGTTGATTCCAAGTCTTTGCTATTGTGAATAGTGCTGCAATAAACATACGTGTGCATGTGTCTTTATAGCAGCATGATTTATAATCCTTTGGGTATATACCCAGTAATGGGATGGCTGGGTCATATGGTACATCTAGTTCTAGATCCTTGAGGAATCGCCATACTGTTTTCCATAATGGTTGAACTAGTTTACAATCCCACCAACAGTGTAAAAGTGTTCCTATTTCTCCACATCCTCTCCAGCACCTGTTGTTTCCTGACTTTTTAATGATCGCCATTCTAACTGGTGTGAGATGGTATCTCATTGTGGTTTTGATTTGCATTTCTCTGATGGCCAGTGATGATGA